ATACGTTGTTTCCCGAAAAAAAAATTTTTTGCTACGCCCTTTTGGCTCTCGGTAGGTACCCTGGGTGCCATAAGGGCGTACCAAAATTTTTTTGCATCACTTTCCCGTTTTAGGCATAACTACGTCGATTCTCGAAAAAATTTTTTGGTACGCCCTTATGGCACCCGGGTGCCATAAGGGCGTATAATAGGCTGATACGCCCTTATGGCATTTGTAACGCGATATAGTCTGTTTTTTATGCAGATTAATGTACAGAGCTCGGCTATATATCGAGTTTTTGTGATTATTTTTGCATCGCTTCAGAATGTCTTTTACCAGCTATCACTAATTTAATTTATTTATTAAGAATGCAATATCATTTACTAGATATGGACGGTACTATATAGATTTAAAACATAGAACTCTTCATACTCGATAGCGGTGGTTGCTTTGCCATCGTTTCAATAATCATGTCATGAAAGAACATGTTTATAATAAAAAGGACACTTCAGACTCTTATACATCAACGAAATTTATTTTGGTCCTTAAAATTTAACTGCAAATTTTTTTCTTATTTGCATTTTCATTTTATTTTTATCTAGATTTTTTGGTAAAACTAATACTATTGCCAAAGGCCTATTAACGCATATAAATTTTGAAGACTTAATAACAAAAATAATAGGCCATTATAGTTTTAAATTTTGTTTCGATACCGAGATTAAAAGTTTACTCTAATAAAAATTTGTTGTAAATAAGAGAAAAATAAATATTTTGAAATTTTTAATAAATAATAAATGAATTTTTATTGTTATTACACCCGCTTATACACCTCTTCAGTCGATGAATAACTGTTGGTGAATTTTTATTGAGTAATGTAAGCAAACAAATAATTTTAAAATACTAACAAACCTTGATAAATATTCACGCATTATTTCATGCAACATTTTAGCATGGAAATTCGGATAAATGTTTGGCAATAAATTTTAATTATGACTAGCATGCACCTAAATAAACTAATTTTTAAAATTATGTAAGTTATCCACCGAAAATAAAATATCTGTGTCAATAAAAATTAAATAATTTAATTGCAGATTTTTTTGCTAAATTATTGTTTATTACAAGTAAATTTATCGTAAATGAATATATTTATTAATATACAATTTTCAAATAATTCTTAATCACATTTTAGGATTAAAAAATATTCGTCATGATAAAAAATTCTTAATCCTTTCAAATTATTTTTAATCATATTTTGAGGATTAAAAGTTTTCCGTGATATTGTAAATATTTCCCTCCAATGACATCCACCAGTTATCAAGCATGCACAGACGCTAACGGATGTAATTGCACCTCAGTTCGCTTTCGATCATCAGAATTAACACACCGCGGGTTTACTGGATTTAAAACAGTTACATGTTTGTTTTATTATTTTAATAATTCATTCAAAAATTATTTTAGGAGACTTGTTAGTGATGTACAAAGTATTTTTGAATAAATTTAAGTCACGTGAGTTGAGCAAATATTTAATCACTTCAAAACTTCATTATTTTAAATCAATCATGATTTGTTTCATTAATCAATTCCCGATCGTAAATGCTAAAATGATTAATTTGCCACAATATTAATTGACTCTTTAGTCCTTTTTATATAACTCATTAATTTATTAAAAAAAAAATAATTATTTTTCTCGGAAATTCATATAAAATACTATTTTTTTACGTCGCAACAATATTTACTACAATTTCATTTAATATCAACAAATGTCTAACCTGCGGTTAATAGTTACAAGTCTTAAATTTCCGTAATAATAAATGTCGAGTTACTGATAGAATTATCGTTCATTTATTACTATTTTTCTGCTAACCGATCGCATTATGTAATTAATTATCGCATAAAAAATACTAAAAAAAAAAAAATAAAAAATTCGATTTTTCAAATTTAGTTGGCATAGTAATAAACATTTATTGTTTCTTTGTTTTTAATATATTGACTTAAAAATAATTTCAAATGAAACTATCAAATCTCACTTGTATCGTGAAAAAAACTAGTCATAATATAGCAGTAAAAATTAGTGACAATTGTCATGAATTTGAAATGGTTGAGTGAGTAATTTTTCACGTCAATCTAAATAAATAATATTGACATTTTTATAAATATAATTAAAAATTAATATCGATTATAATTTAAATTATATTCAGTATTTAAAAAAAAAAATTAAGTCCTCATAAATTAATTATAAATTACAGAATGGATACCAACACGCGTGGTAATTTGCATAATGATGTTTACATGCTGCTGGACGAGTTACATGTGTCGATTGCAGATGAGTATCCTCGCAGTGCCGATGATAAAGACCCTTGAAGATCAGCAATCATCACATGGAGCGTGTGCGGAGCAGGAGACTTTAAAATCCCGAAGATCTGTTTTTATTGACAGCGAAGATTCTTCTGAAGATATTAATAAAAATGGAAACTTCACTCACGTGTTTTTACCTCGGAAAATAAATACGACGGATGCGGTATTATTATCAGATGACAATGATAATACGTATTATAATTATACGGATGCGCTGATACTAGACACGCGAAAGTCAAAAAGAACGACGGGGTTCCATTTGTTCTCTAACACGCCCTTCGAATGGACGCCATTTATACGGGGGCAATTAATATCGGCATACGCTTGGGGCAATGTTCCGGGTAATTTTCTTGGGGGGGTTCTCGCTCAGAAATTCGGCCCGCGAAGAGCCGTTCTCTGGTCCTCGATTCTTGCAAGTTTCGTCTCGTTGGCCACGCCGATACTCGCCCAATTATCATGGATAGCTTTGCTCTTGTCACGGGTAATTATCGGTTTGACTGGAGGTATTACTTTTCCGGCGTGTCATACTCTGGTGGCAAAATGGTCACCGCCTGACGAAAAAGGGAGGTTTGTTTGGACACTCCAGGGTGGAACTTTTGGCTCGATATTTTTGTTCGGTATTATTTCGGGAATCGCGGAGAAAATAAACTGGGAGTCAGGTTGGTATATTCCGGCGTTGTCGATGATGGTCTGGATTGTTTTTTGGTGGTTTTTGGCCTATGATTCGCCGGAAGAGCATCCTCATATCAGTGAAAAGGAGAAACAATTTATTGTAGAGTGAGTTTTTTATATTTTGGAAATATTGATGGAAAATTGTTAATTTGTAAAAATTTTAAGTTCATGCACATTTTTGATAAAATTAAAAAATTCATTTTTTATAAAATATTTATCATCAATTTCACACTGATAGAAGGATTTTTTTATAGTTAAAAATATTTGTTAATATTTAACAAATTATTTATTAGAGACCACTTTTCAAAAAATTCAAAAAGATTTATTAATATTTAATAAATAAATATCAGATTTATTAAATATAAACAAATTTTAAATACTAAGAAATATTTGTTTAATACTAAAAAGTGGTCTGTAATAAATCATTTGTTACCTATTAACAAATATCTTTTGATACAAATAAATCCTTTTATCAGTGTATCGTTTTTGACTTTATACTCCAAGTGGAATTTTCTACCAAGGAGGTTCTTTTTTTAATGTAAATAAATTTTTTTATAATAATAAAAATTTTTTATAGATCGCTATCAGGTTCGGTCAACGTAGAAAAACCATCTTTCAGCAACACGCCGATATTAAAAATACTAACATCAATTCCTTTCATTTGCTTGGTCCTCTGCCATTTTGGGAACGTCTTCTTACTATTTTTCTATCAAAACGGCATGATGTTGTATCAAACAAAAGCTCTGGGATTCAAATTAACCAAAGGAGGAGTCGTCTCAGGATTACCCTGGGCAAGTAGAGTTTTATTCGCTTTCGTGTTTGGCTGGATTGGCGACACAATTAAACGGAAAGACAAACTATCTGTTACGGCATTACGGAAGTGCGCAACAGTATTTTGTAAATATTAATAAAATTATTAATTTTATTCTCAATTAATAAAAAGAATTTTTTAAAAAATATGAGCAATCATAAATTGATGTTTAATTTTTTAGCTCATTTTCTGCCGGGAGTTTGTCTCATAATAGTCGGCTACCTCGGATGCTCGATGGTTTGGGCAAACGTCTTTCTGGTACTTGCATTGGGATTCAACGGTGCAGCGTCAATTTCAAACTTATCAAACAATCAAGACTTGTCACCTAATTACGCTGGTTTTCTTTATGGTATTATGAACACAGTTGGCTCCTTATCAGGAATCATGATTTCTCCGATTGTCGAAGAAGTCGCTGGCAAGTGGGGGGTAATTATTTATTAATATTTAAAAAATCATTTATCAGTTTAAATCTCATCTGCTGGAACTTTATCATGCAAGTTATGAAATCTCAACAATTTAATTAAATCTGCCTGCTACCTTTCGTGTCTGTCAGTGATTAAATAATTATAGCGTGTAACTTTATAGGTGACTAATAATATCCGTGTCGCAGATATCACACTGCATGCTATCATCAATATTGACTATTAATTATCAATTTAAAAACACTAATAATAATTACAATGAATATTTTTAAAATAGCATCCAATCGAAAAGTGGCAAATACTATTTTGGATAGGAGCAATTGTTTGTATTACTTGCATGGTAATATTTATCATTGGTGGAAGTGGACAAGTTCAAAGTTGGAACGAAGTACGATCAAATAATCCTCATAGACCTAATCCTATAAGTTCTAATCAGGAAGAGTCAACAGCAACCACAAAAACTTAAATATTTTTTTAAGGATACTTAGCAACTAAATGACAATAATTATATATAAAAAATAATAAGATATTATATGTGATATATAATGCGACTAAATAATTTAATTATTTTGCAAAGTTAATAAATTACGATAAAAAATGAGTTTACAATTGGCGTGTACTGTGCATTGTCAATGGTTTCATGCGCGGATAATATTTTTGTATTTTTTTTAAATCCAACAGTACGACAGGAAGTATAGGATGATAGTTTTCTCATTATATAACACATAGCATATTAGCGTTATACAATTATATAGCTAGATATATAATAATACCCAATCTGTAACAAAAACTCTTGGAGTATTATTACGAAGGACACTTATTAAGCTAATTATAATCTAATAATTTACAGATAATGATTTATGCTCAAGTATATTTGTTGTTTTTTATAATTGTATCTTCAAAATCTTTATTTTTTTTTTTTTTTTTTTTTTAAGGCATAAAAAGCAAGTTGTTAAGTCAGGATACTTGAGTAAATAATTAAGATCGTACTATTAATCGTAATATTAATTAAGATCGTACTAAATACATATTGTGAGCACATTTTTTACCAACTAACTCCGCATATTCTTTAACTTCATTGCTGTCATCCTTTTTATCGCCAAACATTCGTCTTATTCCCTGTACATTTCTATATGTCATTTTTCCGCGATAATAAACTCGTACCTATTATTAATAAATTGATAGTTATTATTATTATTATTATTATTAAATTATGATGTTTAGAGATCTAATTTGATTAGAAAAAATTAAATAATTAAACCATACCTGCATTAGTGCGTCGTTATTAATTACACCGTCTTCGTCAAGTGCATCCAAATCATCATTAAGTCTTGAGTATTTGGTTTCATTTAATTTAGGTATGCACTTTTCAATGTCAAACCACGAGTATGTTTCCGGACACAGTAATTTCGAGGGACGCATTTTAGCTTTGTAACGCATTTTCGGAATCGTGTGGATGTAGTAACCCATATAATAATATTTCAAGTCGGGCGCTGTTTTATTTAATTCTCTTACTAATCGTACTTCCATTAGAGAGCTGTAACAATTATTTGTTGTTAATTTTATGGATAATTAAAATTACAGTTAATTCAAGTTGCGTAACCTTGGTAATAATTGCTGATGTATTAAAATAAATAGAACGATAAAAATAATATTATGAAATTGATGATTCAAGGTAATAAATCATTTAAAAATTATTGACTGATGTTAAAATATTTTTTTAAATAAAAAAGTAATTTTTGTTCAATAATTTATAGCTAGCAACCTTGCAGTCACTATGTGACTGCCGGTGCTTGTGAATTATAAATAAATAAAATTTTGTTTTATTAAATAATTACTTTTGTTAAATTGCACTGTACTTTCTTAAATATCGACATTTTTAAAGATATAAGCTCATCTCGATGTTACACTCATCAAGAGCTTTCATTTGAGTACCCACATGCATTTTGATATATTTTTCATATATACATATATATAATATATATAAATATATGAAAAATTGATGTGGGTACTCAAATGAAAGGTCTCGATGAGTGTAACATCGGGATGAGCTTATATCTTTAAAAATGTCAATATTTTACACGATAAAATGTCATTTCTTAATTATGTATCTAGAGATAAAGCATTTTTGAATGCAGCCTAAGTACTTATCATAAATTGACTATCGGTGAGAATGAAATGAAACCTTAAGAAGGCAAAAATTCAAGTCAAGACCTTTGCAATGACACTAAATTTCACTAAAAAAACCGATTTTATCATAAGACTACTCTGGAAACAAAGTTTTTCTTATTCTCTTAATAACATAGAGTATTTAAAAAAAAAAAAGAAAATTATTTAGCTTAAAAAAAAAAATATCTAATGGGTTGAGAGCAAAAAAAATGAATATCATCTTAAATAATCACCTGTAAGTACCGAGTGAAAGAAATGAATATTCAGGATCATAGAAAAAATAAACACTTGACACACATGATGGTAATATATCAATAACTCCTACGGCCATTAAAGTATTATTAAGCCAATATTGTTGGTGAAATGAACCGTATCCCAGTGGTGGTCCAGATTCTGGCTTCCAGTGCTATAAAATTAATTAATCATTAATAATTGTATCTGTATGCAATAAAAATTAGTTTTACTAATTTTCAGCTTTTAAAAAGTATTCCAAGCCAAAAATAAATAAAGTACGATTAATAAATGATAAAATAATTACTTTTAAAGGAGTTTTCCCTAAAAAATTAAGGAAGGACTGTTTATCACATTCGTCTTCCTCATCATTATGTACAGCAATTTGATACTTTTTAAATAATTCTACACTTTGATCCAAAGTATCCATAAATTCTTCTGATGACACTCGTACTAATTTCACCTTAAAAAAAAAATAATATTTTTAATAAAATATTCCTACAAATAAATGGAGCAAAATATAAATAAAAATAAATTACTTGTAACTCATTAACACCATCGGAAATATTATTTAATAACTCGTCGATAGTTTTGGTTTTATTTTTATCTTTTTTTTTCTTATAATAAGATTCAATCTCTTCCAAAGTCTTTCCTTTCGCCAGTAGCCGGCTTCTCGCTCTTTCAATCCTAATTAATTTAGCTTTTCTAGGCAAGTCGCTGTCTGAGTTACTCGCCGCTGGCTCTTTAGTATTTACTTTATCACTTTTACTACACGAGGAATTTGCTAGACTATTAACAGATTCAAGAGTATCTTGAACCATTGTCACAGGTTGCCATTGAGTATTATCAATTTCATTGTTTACTTGTTGATGACTATTGACATGATCATTATGGTCCGAGCTTTGAGTACAAGAATCACGTTTAGTACCACAATCAACATCTACAGACATTTTTTCTCCTTCTAAAATATCTAATTTATTTCTCGTTGTATACTCAGCGTAATCTGGCTCCATTATATTGCAGATATCTAGAAAAATTTATATTAAAAAACAATTATCAGCTAAGATGAGAATAGTTTTTAAAATTAATGCTTTATGCTCAATAAAAATTATTATATCTATTAAACAAGGTTAATTGTTATTAATTTACTAATAATTACTTACCTATATCATTGGGATTATTATGATGAATTTTAGTTCTTTTACTTCTTTTTTCATTGTAATCTTCGTCTTTTTTTCCTTCCTTTAAAAATTTTGTTACACGTTTTATTATTTTTTTTTGTGATTTTGTGACAATAAAATTTAATGCTTCACATCTGTAATTGAATAAATAACGTGATATTAATTACAAGTGCCTTAAAGATTCATCGATAATTATTCTATTAAATATACACAAGTGTTTTACTTTTTAAACTTTTTTATCCACAAAAAACAAATCGAAAATTTATTTAAAAAAATTTTTTTTTTTTTTTTTTTAATTAAACAAACGGTCATACTTTTATGAATAATAAAATTAATTAATTGTTCAAATAAAATCTGATTCTTAAATTCATTTTTTCAGAAATCAAAAAGTTGGACATTTGACAATAAAATTTTTTTTTTTTTAATGTTAAAAAGAGTATTTTTAGAAAAATTGTTTCCATTTTTTTATTATAATTATTCAGTTGTTTAAAATTATCAAAAAGAATTAAAATCTGAAATAATTACTTAATAGTATACATAGGACAGCATGTTTCATCGTTTAGTGGCTTGTAACAATAACAACCACTTCTTCTCCAGCCTCTGTCTATTAACGATTGATAATTTTGAACTGTCAGTGAATGTGCCCACATACCTAAAAATGAAAGTAACATATTTTAATTAAAAAAAAAAAATAAATAATAATTCTTTTAAGAATATAAAATTCATAATTGGTTAATTACCATGTCGTTTATAAGAATTGCGTTTTTTACAATAACCACATGAATATTTACGAGATACATCAGTAAAATAATAATCAACAACGCTAAACATATTTACTGCCATAGTATTTATAGAATTATTTTTTTTTATTTATCAGTATAATTATTAACTTAAATAAATATTTCTTATATTTTTGTAAAATAGAATGACCAGACTTACAACTTATCAATATATTATTGTATCTGTCATTTAAAAAACGGTCTAATCATGGAAAACAATTAATTAATACACACACACGTTTATATCGCACACTGCAGAGAATGAGAAACAGTAGAATTTCTTATTTTATTTTTTTTCTTTATTTATTACGGTTGTTATTGTTATTATTATAAAAAAAAGACACAATGACGCCATTTTTCCTAGGGAAAAAAATTAATTACTAGATTTTAACTTTAAACTTTCCATTTTACGTTTTTTAACCAAACTTTTTTTTTCGTATAAAATTTTTTAGAAACAATAACAATTTAATTGTTTTCTGAGAATTTCGTTAATAATTGTAATCAGTTAATTACATATTTATGTGTAATAAATAAAAATTATTTCAGATAACAGTCTTACTAACTATCGGTAAGAAAATTTTGTAAACGTGTACTGGTTAATGGCAACGCTGATTGTCAATGTCTTTGACTTATTTTATTACTTAATTTATGTGTTTTTAAATAATTAAGTATAGCTATAAAATTGAAAAAAAAATTTTTTTAATTATGAGTGCATTATTTTTTACATTTTTCACCAATAACACGCATTAAGTTCATATAAAAATATAAAAAAATGATCGTTAATTATTCAAAGTAAAATATGGCGCCGTAAGTTTATTCTAATTACAAGAATAAATTTTAAATTTTCTAATTCTTACAACAAAATTAATAATTGCAATTAAAATTTTAATTATTTTAATGCAAAAAATAAATTTTTAACTTAAGAAAAAAAATAACTCATTTGAATTACGCGGGACATCTTCGGATCTTGCTCCGTTAAAGTTCGAAGTTTGCCGAAATTCAAGCGGGAGTCGGTGCACAATATGGCGTCAGTGGAGTCGATACTACCAAGCTTCCCGGGCGTCACAGATGTATTTTAAATGATTTTCATTATTAAATTGTCATAATTAATGAAAATATATATCTGAAAGCAATCTTTAGCAGCCGAGGATCATTTTAATGTATAAATTTTATATTTTTATCCGTAAAAAATGTCCGATGTCATCAATAAAAAATTTTTACTTTCAGCTATGCGAAAACTAGACTAGTCGGTAAATATGTTTTCAATTCTTGATTTTATTGTCAATATCAATGAAATTATTTCTTATTTTGATTAATCGGGTGACTATTTAAATAGTCGGTAATTAATAGCATATTTCGAGCATGAATTGCTGATTACCTGACCTAGGTATATATGCTATAGTATACATATATATTTAGTGTACAGTATTAGTCATTGTTAATATGATTCAAAAATCAGATATCGATTCATTTTACAGACTCCATATTTTTAATCATGACATTACATAAAGTTAGCAGTCACTTAACAATTTTTGAATTTTATTTAACAAAAAATTATTTTTAAAAAATTGCATTTTTTATTTTTTAAGATTTCTTGTCAATTTTTTTTTTGCCATAATTTGTTATAAAATTCTCAAAATTATTAAATATATGCTAAAATAATTTTTTGATATAAAAAAGTTTGTAAATAAATATCAGGAAAAATATGATCATATATATGAAATAGTACATGATAATTAATTTAGCAGATATTTAATAATTTAAAAATTTTTTTTTAACAAATGAATGATGACCAAAAAAAATATTTAAAAAATTGACATGGAGAAAATTTTAAAAATTAAAAATGCAATTTTTTAAAAATAATTATTTTTTGAACAAATTTTTTTGTCAAAAAAATTAAAAAATGGTTAAGTGACTGCTAACTTTAATGTCATAAATAGTACTCGCAATTAAATAATGATGGTTTTAGTTTTTTATATTAAATATTTATTAATTATTAAAAATCAAAATTATCATTCGAAGAAATTTAACAATATTAGATTTTTAATCATAAAAAATGAAAGATACTTAAAAAAAATCCTCGTCACGTGAATATTAGATCTTCCAATTTATTCCTCATGAATATAAGGCTTATTTTATTGAGGCCCTTTTTTTTTAATCGATGGATTAATCAAAATTTCTTAAAGTATAAATAGTTACTCATAAATATAAAAAATCATGAATTACTTGTATCGTAATTTACTTTGACATAATTTTGTGATAAATATTGAGAACATTTTTTTTTTCTAAATGAATAATATTTTTTTATTTTAAATAATTTAGTGGTAAAAAATCATAAAAATTATCATATCTATTTTTACTATCATGGTTTTTTCGGTACTCTTAATTGATATTATGCATTGTAAACATTTAAAATACATCAGTGACAGATAAAAATTTATTTTATAATTTTGAACAAAAAAAAAATTAAAAACTAAAACTGAATTATGATAATAGTGATTAAAGTTAATGTGAAGTTTTAATAACAGCAGTGACAATTAATAAGTAGTAAGTTTTAATAGTGAGTGTTGTTATAGTGTTTATTAATTAGTAGTTAGTGTCAAAATAGTGATTAGTAATATTAATAAAAAAACAATAAGTCATCAAGTAGAGCAGCGCCACAGCAAACCGATGATCATCACCGGTAAGTAAGAAACTAATAGCATATTTTCAAATATATTTTTTTTTATTAGAACAACAATTTTATACATTATATGTTAATATATATTTATATATTTCTTATCACGATGCTTAGACATTTACAATAAAATATATGATTCGAACACTTATTAGGTACATTAATGAAATGAGATTGCAAATTAATTACAAAAAGCGTACAACCTTTAAATACAAAACTTAATTGAAGAAATTTCCTTTAAAGTAACTAAAAATCTTAAAATTGCTTTTAAACAAAAATTAATATAAATAATACAAGTAAAAAATTAATCATATAATAGACATGCGTTGATTAATCTTGTAGCCATTGAGAAAATTTACAAATTAAACGCTACTATAAAAATACATTAAAAATTTATCTTAAAAGCTATAAAGACGAATATAATACATTTATATATTTCTTGAGAGTAAATTTACGATAACGATGATTAAATTCTCCAAATAATTCAACGAGGATTTAAATATTTACCATGTAAATTGATATATGTGTAAGAGTTATCTAAACAACAATTTTTTGTTAAAATTTTAACCAATAATTCGTTCTTTTAAGTTATTCTTTAGTTATCGTAAATTATGGTACTTTTTAAACTAAAAAATTAGTTATTAAAAATAGCAGCCTTCTGACGAAATTGCGCACGTCTCATTGCTTTATCTTCTTCTTCGCGTTTTCTTTCCTCTTGCTCCATTCGTATTTCGTTTTCGAACTTGCTTGACTTTCGCAATTCCTCGATCTAAAACAAATAAAAAATTAATCAGCATTCAAGAGTGAATTTGTTATTAAGTTTCATTATTTCAATAGCGAAATATTACCTTTGCTTCGAAGAAATTTTTAGCACCAGTTACTCCGACTTCATCGACATTTACTTCAGTAAGTCGAGCTAATTGACCAAGTCCGGAATCTTGTTCCAATTCTCCGGCACGTGCTTTGCGATAGATCAGTAAAAACTATAAAAAAAAATATTGGTTAATTTAAAAATAATTTTTTTTAATTATTAAATATTATTATAAAAAAAATAAATATTAAATTAATTATCAAAAATTAAAAAAAAAAAAATTAACACTTACTTCGCGGAAAGAAATACGACCATCATCGTCTTCATCAACTTCTTTGATCATCGCTTTAAGTCCCAGATGAGTTTGAGGTGCTCCCAACACCTCCATCATTCTTTTCAGCTCAGCTAAATCCAGAAATCCATCACGTCCATCGTCAAATCTAGAAAAAAAAAAAAAAAAAAAATTCTATTAGTAACAAAAAAAAACTACAAAAACGAATCTCCTATTATAGATTAGAAAGTCTCAGTATAATACACGGAGTAAATTAAACAATAATGATAAATGACGTAACAGATTAACGTGAAAGAAATTGATTGACAATTTTATTGTAAAGTAGTCCGAAGCAATCACACGTGAAATAAACCGATAGTTAATGTAATGTAATGACGAAAGAGTTCAATAATGCGAAGTACAGAGTACAAAGTAAATATATATCAGAACAGTGATTTCTGTAAAAGGTCCCAGGTCTCAGATTTCGAAACGTTTCGCGTACTTGCAAAAAATGTTACGTAGTTGTCACTGGAAATGTGATCTATATTTTTTTATCCATAATCGTACTGTTTAATTACATAATAACGCGAAGTTAAAATTGATTAGGTTTTATTTGTAAAGAAAAAAAATAATTATTGAGAGGCTTAATAAGATTCAGAAAAAGGATGAAATCTTTAATGAGATTAGATCTTCAAGAATTTTAAAATTAAACCAACAAAGATCATGATAATGAAAATAATAGAGGGTATTTTAGAATATTTATCCATGACCTGCGGGACACCGATAGCTCGCGAAAATAATTGTACTGCTTTTGAGGTAACTCACGCTACATCGGTAATAGCCAAGTACTTGAACCGTTTAATATTCCGCTTACGTGTTTTGCACAAAACCAGTTACCTTCGCCAGCAATTTTAAAGCCACTTTATCTTGCTGGATTTATATAAATAATATAAATATATGCAGCATTTATTTATTTATAAATTCCTTCATTTACTTTTTTAGCTTTTTTTTAATTTCTACAATCAAATATTAACTTTATACATTTATTTAAACATACATATTCTTGTTCTGATTAACATGTATAATTGAAATTTAATTACGAGTTTTACGACAACTGCCTCGAGGATCAATTCCTGGTACCACTCGCGATTAATGATATATTTGTACACCGCTTTTTATTACGTCTTATTATTCCTCGCGAGTATGTAAAAAATTTAAAACATGCACTGCATCATAAATCCTGTTTGCAGACGTAGACAAATTTTTTGTTTTTCTCACATCATCTCTTAACCCACGCCTTCTATAACTGTAGTGTGCGATGTAGTTGTTATCTAATGCATTTTTGCAATGCTAGTCTTTCATTATTATTATTTAAAAATTTTTAAATTTAATTCGAAAATTTGAAAAAAAAATTGATTTGTGATGAAATGACATAAATTATGTACCTGAAGTTCCGAACGTTCATTTATGAACGAAAATCAAAAAAAAATTTTTTTTGCTCCTGAAACTGAAAATGGTTTTTCAGTTTCGAATAGAGACAGTGAGCCCTAAAAATGATATATTAGCTCCTCAAAACACAAAAACCACCCCTCCAGCCACCCCAAAAACTTACACTTGAAAAACAATTTAAGATAAAATCCTTCCAAGGGCCCTTTGAAGCTGGCGATTTTTTGTAGGACTCATACAATACCCCTACACAATATAAAAAATCACCAAGCCATTAGCTGCCCCTGAACTACCCCTCCAGCCACCCCAAAGTTTTTCCCTTATTATATAAAAATTCAGAAAAAATCGTTACAATGGCCCTTTGAAGCTGGCGATTTTTTATAAGACTCATACAACACCTCCACACAATATATAAAATCACCAAGGCATTAGCTGCCCCTGAACTACCCCTCCAGCCACCCCAAAGTTTTTCCCTTATTATATAAAAATTCAGAAAAAATCGTTACAATGGCCCTTTGAAGCTGGCGATTTTTTATAAGACTCATACAACACCTCCACACAATATATAAAATCACCAAGGCATTAGCTGCCCCTGAACTACCCCTCCAGCCACCCCAAAGTTTTTCCCTTATTATATAAAAATTCAGAAAAAATCGTTACAATGGCCCTTTGAAGCTGGCGATTTTTTATAAGACTCATACAACACCTCCACACAATATATAAAATCACCAAGGCATTAGCTGCCCCTGAACTACCCCTCCAGCCACCCCAAAGTTTTTCCCTTATTATATAAAAATTCAGAAAAAATCGTTACAATGGCCCTTTGAAGCTGGCGATTTTTTATAAGACTCATACAACACCTCCACACAATATATAAAATCACCAAGGCATTAGCTGCCCCTGAACTACCCCTCCAGCCACCCCAAAGTTTTTCCCTTATTATATAAAAATTCAGAAAAATCCTTCCGAGGGCCCTTTGAAGCTGGCGATTTTTTATAAGACTCATACAATACCCCCACACATAAATTACGTAAAGTTGCATTTTAAATGAGTTTCGAATAAACTTGACCGAGGAACAGAACCAGCCGATGTAATGGGTACGTAAAACGTAGGCAGTCATATCAGCTATAAGTAATGTGTATATATACATATAATTTGTAAGTGATCGATAATACTGCAGGAAAAGTTGGTCCCACGTGTAGCGCGAGTGCAGCTGTTGAGTTATATGTTTTTTTTTTCCGGACTCAACACCTACTGAGTAAATATTTTTATTAGTAGAAATCTTTTATTTCATTCAACTTCCCGATGATGTTGAAGCATTAAACATCTTTTGTTTTCATAAATAAATTACTCATTGCATATTATTTGATAAAATTGACCTAGAGATTTTTTTCTTTCTGATATTTCGTCGACATAGACTTGAAGAAAATCACAGAAAAAATTCAATTGAAAAAATTTTAACGTGAATCGTTCTGTAGAGATGTAATCACAATTAAATTTGAACGAGTGTATTGATCGGCCTATTTTTTTTTTATTACATTCTTATCTATGAAAAGTAAGACCCTATTGAATATCCGTTCGATCATATTAGTCAATTTTTTTCAATAGTGTCTTGAGTAATTTTTTCAATTTATTTCGATCTTTTATTTTAAAGATTTTTAGCATTTTTTCTGTTTATTCAAGTGCATTAAGTTTTGTATCAGATCTTCCCGCCAAGAAAATATTAAATTTGTTATTATAACTTTACGATAATCTAACGAGGTATATATCGGTAGAAAATCTACAATTATTGTATAGATAGGTAAAATATTTATTTATCTTATCATGCTCAGTTGTGTTAAACACTGAGATAACATATAATAGTATAAATTCTACGATGATCCTTTTTTATGCATTCAATTTTTTTGTTCGAACGTAAAAAGGAATTTAATTCGAAAGGTTATTAAGATAATAATAAACAAAGTGCATCACGGTGAACGTGGTAAATAAAAGGTCTCGGCACACATATTAGCTGAATGGTGAGAAGGGAATCGATAAGCCTTGGAAGCCTTGAAATACCATCGCGTGCATTGATTTTCCTTTAATTTTTCTTCTTGCATTGCATACACAGGAAATAATTTAACGGGAACTGTTTTTTAATCAACCTTATCCTAAAATTATTTCGTTAATGTCCTTTAAACAGTATGTTTATTTTTCCACAAATAATTTGTTGTATGTTTTTATCTGAATATATAAAGTAGAGCAATAATTACAGATACGCTTGTATTAATACTGATACGCAATCACGCAATATTGACTTTGTCGTCTGGACTAGTTTTATATTACAGTAAATGTGGGCTGATTTTATCTGGTAAAATGTAAATATTTTTATTTTCGATTGTAACAAAAAAATACGTTTTTATTGTTTATTGGAATTGCTAATCACGCTTGCGTGAATACGGAGTATTTTGTATTGATCACAAAGAAAGATCTGCAATGAGAAAGAATCCCGAGCAGATTATATAGATTTAATGTTGATGCTCTCAAAACTCGGTCAAGGTGAACTCTCGGTGACGTTGGTTTGTTGGTAAACTTCTTATGTATCGTAAGATTCTAATACAGAGGTTTTTCTTTTTGAAAAAAAATCTAATAATTTATAAACAATTTAGTTAACTTTTTTTTTTATAATTGAAAGGAATGAAAAATTTATTAATTATTACTAATGTTAATCTTTTACATAATAATTCTTAATTATTTAGACAATATTCTCATCATACTTATAAAATTTACTAGGACGAAAATATTATTTAAAATTGAAAAAATTGAGCGTTGAATTTCAAGTTATATAAAAAAAAATTTTTTCTTAAATTTTGAAAAAAAAAAAAAAAAAAAAAAACTAAATTCTTCGATGAATCTATTAAGCAAATTCCGAAAAAATTTTTATAATTTTTCTCGACAACCAGTTGAATATTTTCTATTGCCTACATATCCTCAAAATTATTAATCTATCTTCTCTGCGAAGATTTATCATGTGGCTTTTTTATATTTTAATTTTCCTAGAAATAAATGATTAAAAATGAAAACTTCCAATTTTGGTAATTGAATTAAATTTTTCCGGTATGATTTCCAAAAATTGAACACAGTTCTGGGCATCACAATATAATTAAAGGATCTATGTAATAAAAAATCAGATCAAGATGTAAGATCTTATTAGATGACTTTCATAATTAAACTTTCGATTATCAATCGCGTGTAATAAGATGCTCAACATCATCATATTGTTAAGTATAAAAATTTCACTACAATAAAAGTGAAAACGTTCAATTACTTCCGTTATTATTATATGGCAATTTGAAGAAAAAAAAAACTGCCGTTTATTTAAAATTACAAATTTATCACTCGAGTGCTGACTAATTTATAATCATCTAACGTGTTGGTTTAATAATGCAAACACTCTACTACGGGTTATAATATATATTATTTAGAGTATAAATTATTAATCAGTTAGCTATTTCCGTACTATATAAAAGAACGTAAACTTTTTATTTTACTACAAAATATAAATATAAATAAAATGAATCATTGATTTCGGATATTTCATTAAAATTGAACAATAGTTTACTGTAGTTTTTTTTACTTTTCCAACTTTGGAATGAAACCCTTGCCCGGAGTTTTTAATTAGTTTATGGAGCACGCGAGTCTATAAATCGCTAATGGCTGGAGCGTACAGAATAAGAATCGAGTGTCTAAAAATGGAAATATGAGTACGTGATATCCCCGGAAGACAATAGACATAAAATGTATACACATATTAAGCGAATGTGATCTCACCTACACCTAAGAAAGTAGAGAAAGAATAAAATTGTTTTTATTTTTTACATACAGACACAGACTCAATGCAAATTATATATTATCTACATATATTAGTGTACATAAACATGAGGGCAATTACAACAGTGGGAAGAGAAAATTTCAAGAAAAAAGTTTTAATAATAAAACGATGGAATTTTTCTTTTATTGGCAATTACATTTTGTCCTTCGGATTGACAATTATGGTCATACAATCGTAAAAAGTCCATTATAAAGGTATAAAGTCGTATTTATTGTCTAATTTATGGCTCTAACTCATCACTACGAAGACCACAAAGCCCTTAAATGATATTTTTATTTTAAAAAATTTTTATGCAAATTGGGACACTTAGTTTTATTACTATAATTATTTTATCATTATCTTAAATGTTTTGTTTTCACTGACAGATCTTACTTCGAACAATAGGATTTTTTAATAGTTAAGAAATTGTTTATTAGAAAAAATAGCAATGAAAATTTTTTTTCTTAGTAAATAACGTTTTAATAAATATGACTTATTGCCCCCAAATAAATCCTCTCCGTTAAAGTGTGCTACTTATTGGATTTCTCAAAAATGACAGCAAATAGTAGGCAAAAGTGGATGTAATCTCACATTACAGGTTTTATTTATCCCGTTAGTGTAAATGGAAATAATGTGTAAGTTTGGATCTTTTCCGGTTTCTTAATTTCAACGTTATCTCTCGTCAATTTCTCGATTGATTAAGTGAGTACATGCGATGGACGTCTATGTATATTCCCGATTCCCGTC